AGGGAAAGGTGGGTTGTGGAGCATGGGGAGGCAGGGAAAACGATGTTTTTAATGGATGCAGCTTCTGAAAAGCCACCTTGACTCTGTCATGTTTGAGTCCTATATCAGAACACTATCACCCTCCTTAGAGTTATTACCACTTCACCATTAGGGCTGGAACAGAGCACTTGAGGAACAGAGCACACCCGGACTGTAGGACACAGTCAAACACCTTTTCTTTGCTAGGGCAAACCTTGGGCTTAGGTCAGGCCTTGTGAAAAGGGACTACACTCGGCTCTACAACCACTGACTCCACTTTAAAGAATCCACTCGAGACCTGTAAATGTCACCACTTCCTCCCACTGGACGTCAGCACTCCTATTCATTCTCCCATCACTCACCACTCACCAGTTTGTGGGCTCCACTGCCATGGTTAACATGTGACCAATGACAATGTCACTGGGAAGAGGATGCTTTTGCAAACCTGTTTTGGGACAGCCTACAAAATATGGTCTTGAAATGATGCTTTATAAGTCAAGTAATACTCACAGATGTAGCTGCTTCAGGGGTCTTAGGGAATCTTCATCCGTGCCTTCCTCCGGGTCCTCAGACACAAATGCACAGGAATTTAGAGTAAGTGATTCCAGTTTCTGGCAGTTCTTTAGACAGAATGCAAGTGCTACTTGATCCAGTCTGGTAAATGTATAATCATCAAGACGCAGGTCAACGAAATGACTCAGTGCATTTTGCACAAAACTTTTCTCTCTTATTTCATACAAACAGTGAAAGTCCTCAAGCTGCGGAATTGTTTCAACCTGCTTCTGACTAGGGAAAGTTTGTGGTCTACCAGACTCTGCGAATGAGGGGGATGGACATGTTCTGGGTTTTGTTTTAATCCATGTTAGTAATTTGGGTTTAATATTCAATGAAATTTTGCAGCTGAGTTTTTTCTCAATAGCCTTCATTCTCCCTTCATTCAAGAGACCAAACAGAAATCTCACGGTTAACATTAAATAGTTTCTTGATTTTCCATAGTCAGCTAACAAGGTTTTCAAACCTTTTATGTCATTTCCTGAGTCTCTGCCTGTTCTTTCTTCTTCATTCTCTAGAGCATAAAACAAAGCTGCAAAAAACTCTTGGAAAGACAAGTGAATGAAGCTGTAGAGACATTCCTGGTCACTGGCTTTTCGAAAGAGGTTCTCATTCAGAAAGCGTGAGTCAGATGTATCTAAGCTGTGTTTCTTGAGCTCTTCAGCCTCAAACAGGATCTTCTGCTTGCAGATTCCCTCTGCAGCCAAGGAGCAGAGTCTCTTCAAGTTGGCTCGTATAGGTTGCTTTGAATTTTGGTCACAACCCTTCAATAAATTGTGAAGATACAGCAGGTAGACTCCAGTGATTGTTTCTGAACTCTGTGCAAGATCTTCACCTTCATCCATCTGTTGCTCTATGACAGTGCAGATGATCCAGCACACCATGGGGACAGAGCACATGGTGAAGATCATTTCATTTTCTCTTACAAAATTAAAGGCTTTTCTTGCTCGCTCTTTATCCCCAAAATATTTGTCAAAGTATTCTTTCATCTCAGTTTCTGAAAAACCCAGTATTTTTACACAGCGTTCATTTTCCAACAACTCATTCAGCTTCTCTAAGGCAGCTGGTCTTGTGGTAATGAGTAAGTAGGATTTCTGAAGCACTTTCTTCCTGAATAAACTGCTCAATGTGATTTCCACTGCTTTCTTCTCATGGGGATCAGAACACAGGTTGTCTTCTGGCTGATCCAAGGAAAATCTCAGTTCATCAAAGCCATCAATTATAAAGAGGATTTTCTCCGGACACCTTAAAATCTCTTCCACTGGTGCACGTTCATCAGGACAGTTTGTTAAGATCAAATCCTCAAGACTTCTCTGCTCACTGCCTAACTTAAATCCCCTACAATGTATGTAGAAAACATAATCAAACTTATTCTGATAAAGCTCTCCAGATGCCCAGTCAAACATGATCTTTCTTGCGGTCATTGTTTTTCCAGTCCCTGCAGCTCCCAACAGCACCACAATTCGTGGAGTTTCTCCATTTTCATCACATGCAAATAAATCACTGATGGTAAGGGCTCTCCTTTGCTCACTTGTGGTTTTTATGTATTTCTCTCTCAAAGTCATTATTTCATGTAGATCTTTCTTTTTGGCATGTGGGTCCTTCACAATGACCAGTTTTGTGTATCTGTTGGTTAGATTAACCTTCTCACCAAGAAGAGAGTTCCTGTCTTTTATGTATCTGTAGTTGTTCTGTATATGTTCAGTATACATATCCCTGTAGCCTGGGTTAGAGACATAAAACATTATATACCCTGCACTGGAAATTCAAAGGAATTAAAGAAAAAATCAGTAATTCTTAATTACTGTCGCAACTTTAACAGGCATAATGGTGTCTTACTTTTGTATTGCCCATTTCCTCATCAAATATCCCCAGTCGATTAACTGTGGCCCTGGTCTTGTCGCCCATCTTTATATCAGTAGCCCCACTGACATTAACATGCAAGTACAAAAATGCTCTGTGTGTATATTCAGGCATCTCTGTATTAATTGCTGAAATGCAGCCACTTCCAGGGTGACACCTGTCAATTCAGGACACAGAAGCGCTACATAATGCCTAAGGCTATGGAGTAAGAAGGAGTTGTATAGGCAATTGTTACAATTTGGGGAATGTGCGGGAAATGGAAGAGGTCTGGGTGACATTATCATATCATATTTCCCTGGGGCAGTAAAGTGGATGTGTCGTGTCCACCCCACACCCCCTCCCTGTTTCCCCCACTGGTATCTGGCACTTGGCACCTCCCTCCCTGCCTCTGCAGGGTTTTTTCAGGGTACAAAACGTTTTGAGTCACACTTTTGGCAAGCACAATTTGCTTGTACAATCCATCTGTCACTGTCCTTGATGGCTGAGCTCAGACTGCACAGGGGTATGCTAAAGCAGCTGCCTGAGCTGAGAGCCTAGTCCTGCTGATTTTTAGTTTTCACTTTGTTTAAAAGAAGTTCAGGTTAGACAAGAGGGTCTTGCAGCAGCCTGCAAGACACTGCCTCAGGTGTGACTTGGAGGAGACAGCTCCACCTCATTCCCAGAACCGTGCTCTGGGGAAACTGAATTTCTTGCCAAGATCTCCATCCATTTCCTATTTTCCAAACTGTTACCTGATGTGAGCTATTTTTTATGTCAACTAGCTACCAAGCAACTGGTAGATCTAGTTGAGCTTTGGCAATCAGTGATACCTGCTCGGCACCACTTTGTCGGTCTGTGACGTACCTTTTCCTGATCTTCCACAGCTTTGCCCATGACCGGGAGCTGCAAAAAGAATTGCACACAGATGTCAGTGGTGCAGAACAGACAGAGTGCGGCCCTCGGGAGAGGAAGGTGGACCGAGTAGGTCATTGTGGGTTCTGCAGGAAAAGGAAACACGATCACCTCCCCACAAGGCTCAGGGAGGCAGAAAACATCGTTGGAGAAAGGGGTACATGCTCTGCTCGCAGGGGCTGCCTGAGAAATACCATTTCTTTTACCATGGCCTTGAAAGCTGCTTTGCTCACACAGATGGGGCTGGGTTCTCACAAGAGCTCAGCATTTGAAGGGTAGAAAGCGCCCTTTAGAAATCCAGCACTTGTTTAGGGCATGAGGAGATGTGCATTTCACATGCTCCATGTGAAGAAATCCCCCTCTCTCTGCCCATCACTTGGGTCATTGCAGGTGGACCTCTCTCTTTCTCTTTTGCTTTCTTTTTGGGTCAAACTGGTCAACCAGGTGACTTGGCCGGATAAATTCCTGAAAGGAGTGGGGAACACTCTCTTCCTGGTGGTGGGCGTTTTGGAAAGCAACAAGCAACGTGCCTCCAGGCTGCTGCCGGATGATCTTCTGTAAGTAAAGACTTGGAAATTAGCCATAAATTAGGATTTATGTCTAGGCCAGATGCATTTTAAAAGGATTATTCTATCCAAGAGAGATACATAGGGAACAAGAAAAAATTGGGCTCCACTGTGGGACCTCTACTGAATACCCAGGCACAGCCGACGGTCAATGCTTGTGAAAAGGCAGAACTCCTGAATGCATACTTTGCATCGGTATTCCTGAAACCCAATGGGGGCTGGTCATCTGACCAAAAGCCTAGGGAACACAGGGAAGGTAACAACCTAAACAAAATCAGCCCAGAACAGGTGAAGGATTTTTACAATGCTTGGACATCTTCAAATCTGCTGGACCAGACAACCTGCACCCAATAATACTGAAAGAACTGGCCGAACATATAGCAGCGCCATTGGTCAAGCTATTTGAAGAGTTGTGGAGCTCCCTTGCACCAGGATGGGGCCTTGGGGCCTAATTCCACTCCCTGCCAGCCCCCAACATTGGGCCCGGGCCCAGGAACCTGATGCTGCCCCCTCCCAACCGTCTATACTGGGATTGGGCCCTGGGCCCTGGTGTGACCCTCACCTAGAGTTGTGTGCTGGGATTTCATAGATTCATAGGGATCAGAAACCTGATCCAGTGAACAGGGCCTGGGGCTCCTCACAGTTTTGTGGGGAGCCCTGTAGACTAGCTGACACTGCACCACAAGCTGAATTTCTCCCAGAAGCCAGGAGTTTGAGCACCTCCGGTCCATGCAGCTGAAAGATGGCAGATTAAAAACCATTAAAAATCTTTTATGCACAGAAAAGGAATATTTTCTCGAACTCACTGCCACTGTATGCCAAGGTCAAACACTTAACAAGATTAAACAGAGGGCTAGATATTTCTAAGGGCCACCAGGGACACACACCTGTAACAGGATACATTAAACGGCAAGGAGGAGTTTTGACAGGGCTCTAAACACTCTTGTCCTGAAATACAAGCTGACATCCGAGTTAGTAGGAACTCATCTCTCTGGGAAAATGACTAGATAACTGCACACTGCAGAGTTTCTGAGGCCTGTGTCTGAGCTGTTGCCCACTGCCAGAGCCAGGACACTTTGCAAGATGGACCAGTGCTCCAGTCAGCTTGGCATGTCCAGTGCTCCTAAAAATGTACCTGCAAACTAGGAGGCTGGGCCTCACCTCTTCTGCAGTTTCCATCACTCCAGTCTGCCCATGAGTTTTGGCCTGTATAGGTGTTACCAGTTTTCTGTTGCTCCTACTATAGCTGTTGTGGATGGGGATATTTTATCGAGATACGACTCATGACAGGTAGAGGCTACTTAGTATAGCAGAGTGGGGGAGAAGAAAGCTCTGTGAGCCTTCCCCTGGCCTTAGCTGTTCCCCATAGAGCCATGGTGAACTTCAAAACAGCCCATGGCCGGGTGAAAGTGAAAACCCAGCCAGAGTAAAAGTAAAGAGAAACCCCAGGGGCAGACACTTATCTGATTGACGGCTGGCGAGGAAGCCAGAGGATCTGCCGTTGGGAGCACAGTGGGGAAATAAGAACCGGAGAGAAGGAGAGAACGAAGCAGCCGAGCTGCATCACTCCCAGATGGGGGTATGAGGAGTGCAAGGATCCTGCTTTTTTGTTGTAGGAACTGTGGTTTGAACTCCCGTGGATTGTGGAGGGAGTGCAGGGGTGGTGGAGCCCCCAGGCAGCAGGGACCGGCTCAGGCTTGCAGGCCACCGCATTGGCAAGACCGGCTAACCCAAACAAGGGCAGCCCCAAGTTTTGTAGGCTGGATGGACTGTTAAAGCATCTGGCTAGCACTTAACGGGGCAGGCCCTAATTTTGTACTGTGTTGAAACTATCGATGGACATATTAATACCAAAACTATAACTCCTACCTGTAAGGGGATTTTTGGCCCGCTTGGGGTACTGTCTCTCATTCTGTTAATCAGCACCAAGTCCTCACAGGCAAGCAAATACCACAGGCAGCAACAACCCTTGGATAACCTCAGGCTGGGGAAGACCCAGTGATGGGCATCTCCCCTGATGCTGCCACATTTAGCTTTGGATTTCTTACCTGTGTCCTTTTCCTCCTGGAGTTTAGCAGCCAAGTCCCTGCGATTGATCCTTTTGAAGACTTCGATAGTTGCATCCACTGCTCTCTCCATACCATAGTGTTGTCTCAAGAGTATTGCAACATCTGTCCTAGGAGCCTTCTCTAGTTTACCCCAGGCAACTGAAGGTTTGTTGTCGAATGGGAACTCAGATAATATAAATCTGAAGTGTTTATAATCTTTCTCTGAGAGGTTTTCCAGATGTCCCCAAAGGACTTCCATCAATGTCTTAGGTCCAGCCATCATGAACGATGTGGAACTTAAAAGCAAACAAACAAACAAACAAACAAAACCCAATTAAAATACTAACTCTGAGTCGCCTGTGAACATCATGAAATTGCAGTGACAATGATTGGGAAGGCTCAGTTTCTGTGCAAAAGAAACACCTTCTCCATGTGCTCTCAGACTCACGACAGTTTGTGCATTTCCATGTGTCACATACCAAGTTAATGGTCTAATTTGGATATTTGTACATTGGAATATAACACCCTGGATATCTTCATGAACTTGTCCTGTTGCAAGAAATAGCTGTAATATTTGGCAAACAGCAGTACAGAGCTTGGCCGCTGTGCCTGGCAGATGTTGTGGTTATGCGGTGAATGAAGTCTGGAGTAGCAGGAGACTGTGGGATGTGGGGAGTTCCTGGGGAGGCGATTGTGGGTTGTTCCTGGACTGTCTGTGTTGCTTTCTGCCTGCCCAGAGGGCACTCATCTGGCTGGCCTGGCTGCTAAGCTACCATGTTACCAGGTACCAATTAATCATGATTCACTCAGGGACCAGCTCAATACACAGGACCTAGCTACTACACAACGACTTAACAAGCATCAATCAGCACCTACAAAACCACAGACTAAGGAGAGGAAAGAGTCAATACAGACAATCAACTGCCCCAAGACAGAAACAGTTGCACAAGCACCCATGTCACAGGTTTTGTCTGTCAGCAGCTAGGGGTGTAGGGCCTCAGAACCCCTCTGCACCTATCTCTTTGACAGCTGGCAGGCATCATGGCCTCAGCAGGGGCTAGCAGGCCTGCAGCTTTCACCCCGCTGTGCCTTAACACACACAGTGTCATCCATGTCACAAGTTTTGCCTGTCAGCAGCTAGAGGTGCAGGGCCCCAAAAGCCAGACTCCCCTTCCACCTATCTCTTTGACAGCTTACAGGCTTCATGGCCCCAGCAGGGGCCACCACCCATGCAGTTTTCAGCCCTCTGAGCCTTAACACACACAGGGCCACCAATGTCACAAGTTTTGCCTCTCATAGAATCATAGAATCATAGAAGTAGGGTCAGAAGGGACCTTGTAGATCTTCAGGTCTGACCCCCTGCCTGGGCAGGAGAGAAACTGGGCTCAAGTGACCCCAGCCATGTAGGCATTGAGCTGCTTCTTAAAGACCCCCAGGGTAGGAGCCAGCACCACTTCCCTTGGAAGTTAGTTCCAGATCCTAGCCGCCCTAACTGTGAAGTAGTTCCTAC